GCCGCCGCTGCCGCCGCAGCCGCCGCCGCCATGGCCTGCTACCCCTTCTGGGCCTCAGGCGCAGCCTACCCCACTCACCCGCGCCTCTGCCGCTGCGGCCAATCGGAGCAGGCCTTCGTGTCACTTAGACCAATAGGCGGCCGGCGGGGGCGGGCTCCGGGGAGAACTAGGCTGCGCCGGGGAGTAAACAAGCGGCGCGGGGCGGGCCGGGGGCCGGGGGGCGTGGGGCTCGGGCGGCGAGGGAGGATTCCCGAGCGGCGGTCTGGGACGACCTAAGGGTCTCCGCGCGTGTGTAGGAGGAAAGGAAGATTGTTAACCGCCTAGCCTGCAAGGCTTAGAGCTGAATACGAACCAGGGACTTGGTGCACGGAAGCCAGAGGTTCTTTGTTTATAAGATTTATTTTCTAGTTCTGCGTATGTGTGTGGGTTTTTGCATGCAAGTGCTGTGCTCTAGGAGGCCAGAAGAGGGCGTCGGATTCCCCCGGAGCTGGAGTTACTAGCTGGTGTGAGGTGGTGTGTTGGGAATTGAACCGGCCTCAGCACGCATTCTTCACCTCTGAACCAGCCCTCCAGCCCCATTGATTTGTTTTAAAACTAAGGTTTCTTGAAGTTGTTCCTGCTTTGCGTCAGACTCTGTAGACATCAAGACACACACTTGCTTTTGAGGAGTTGCCCTGACAGGGAGACCCATAGTAAATACTCAAACCCTTAAAAATAAGTTTCCTTGGGGCTGGAGAGATGGCTCAGAGGTTAAGAGCACTGCTTGTTCTTCCAAAGGTCCTGAGTTCAATTCCCAGCAACCACATGGTGGCTCACAACCATCTGTAGTGAGATCTGGTGCCCTCTTCTGGCCTGCAGGGGTGTGTGCAGACAACACTATATACATCAATACAGTGTATGTACATCAATCAATCTTTTTTTTTTCAGCTTTTTATTATTATTATTATTATTATTATTATTTTACAACACCATTCAGTTCAACATAATAGCCACAGATTCCCCTGTTCTCCCCCTCTCGCCCCCCCCAAAATAAATCAATCTTTAAAAAAAAAAATCAGTTTCCTTGAATCCTCACAGCTGCTTCATGTAATCAGTCTTACAAGGGAAAGCAATGCGCACAGACTGTGTGCGCCTTTGGGTTCTGATGTGCGAATTCCTCGGGTAGAGGATCCTTATGTCCTCATTTTAGAAGACAATACATCAATTGGGTGGCGTGTTCTTCACCCTTTGCATTTGGTCTTTATGTGATTAACTTCTCTATAGTATCCACATACTTTGTATTTTTCTTTATACTCCCCCCCAAGTCCTAGTACAAGTACACTTGTTATACATGTCAATTTAAATAATATTTTTAAAGATTAGTTTTATGTGTATGTGTGGACTCAAATGTGTATATATGCACTGTGTGTGTAGGTTCCCAAGGATACCAGAAGAGGGCACTGCATATCCATATTCACAGGAACTGGAATTCCTGGCATTTGTGAGCCACCACGTGGGTTCTGGGAACCAGGTCTTCTGTAGAGCAGTAAGTACTCTTAACTGCTGAGCCATCTCTCCAGCCCATTAAATGATTTTTAAAAAAGGATTCTGTAGACATAACTCACTGCCCTGAAAATACAAACTTAAAAAAGTATGTGCAATATGGTCAAAAGTTGTGTAGAAGATAAGGTGCAAAAAGAGGCCCATGAGGAAAGATCAAGAGGGAAGATGTTTTGTGAAAAAAATCTGATCCAGATGTGGCAGCACATTTGTAATCCTAGCAGAGGCCAGCTAGGGCTATATAGTGCGATCCTGTCTCAAACTCAGAACAAGGGACTGGAGAGATGGCTCTGTGGTTAAGAATACATGCTGCTCTTGCAGAGGACCCTAAGGTGGTTCCCAGTGTGCACGTGCATACACACACACACACACACACACTAAAAAATAAAAGTTCCCCCCCCCAAGTCTTTACAAAGTTGGCAGTAATTCTTTTACATTATAAACTCAGAATAGTGGCTGGCGAATCACATCTCTGCTTCCCTGTTTTTGTTATCTGAGCAGTACTGTATGCTATAAGAAGTTTGTCTCTTGCAGATGACAGAACAAGCTACCAGCAGAAGCAATTAAGACATGGCTGCTCTTTTACATTAGAGTTGTCTTGCTGCCTTTAAGGAAAAAAAGTCCCAGAGCTTTAGAGTGGATTCAACCTTTAAGTTTTCACTGTGTCTCCAAGTCAAGATAAAATGCTGACACCGAGAGAGAGAACAGATGGTGTGCATGAAATGAGTCACATGTCTGAAGCCATCAGCTAGCAAAGAACAACCTACAGGAGAGGAAGGAACTCAAGTGACTTTTTCCGCCTCTCTACTTTTTTTTTTTTTTTGAGGCTAAAAACCTTGAGTAAAAGAAGATTGAGTAAGATTTGGAAAACAACAGATGGTCCCTTAAACTGTCAGCATCCAAGCATATGAAGAATCCAGGCTGCTCGTGTGGTGTTTCAGTGTAGAGGACTCTTTCTCTCTGTCCTTCCTTGCCCCGTCTCTGGTCCATCACAACTTCCACGGAGATACTTGACTTTCATTTAGGTTTCTTACTGGTGCTCCCTGGGACATTTTCCTTAGTGGTCATTTAGGGCAGACCATTTCTACTTTTTTTTTTTTTTAAAGATTTATTTATTTATTATGTATACAGCATATATGACTGCAGGCCAGAAGAGGGCACCAGATCTCATTACAGATGGTTGTGAGCCACCATGTGGTTGCTGGGAATTGAACTCAGGACCTCTGGAAGAGCAGTCAGTGCTCTTAACCTCTGAGCCATCTCTCCAGTCCCCATTTCTACTTTTTATCAAAACATTTGTTTGTTTGTTTGTTTGTTCTCGGTGTAGCTCTGTAGCTCTGGCTGTCCTGGCTCTGTAGACCAGGCTGCCCTCAAACTCAGAGATCAGCCTGCCTCTGCCTCCCAAGTGCTGGGACTAAAGGTGTACACGCCACCACTGCCTGGCAAAACATGTATTCATTATTATTTAAAACTTATAACTACTATAATCCCAGCACTCAGGAGGCAGAGGCAGGGGAAATGAAATTTCATGGCCAGCCTGGGCTACAAAGAGACCATGTATTAAACAAAACATGGCCTGGTGAGATGGCTCAGTGGATAAAGGCACCTGCTGCCCACCCGAGTTCAATCCCTGAAACCCATGTAAAGGGAAGAGAGAACTCCACAAAGTTGTCCTTTGACCTCTGCACATGTACACACACACACACACACACACACACACACACACACACACACACACATTTTTAAAATAGAAGAATGTAACAAAGCAAAACCCTCACAGTTATGGAGTCTGACCTCCCTGGCTGGCTTCTGCATTTCTTAGCTCAAACATCCCTCACTCAGTATGATCTTCCCTGACTATATTGATTAGACTGGGTCAAGGATCCAGCCAAGATTTTCATTTGCTCATTGGACAAGCATTTCCTACCCTGAGTGCATGCAGGACAGGCACCTTTCTAAAGGCTGGGGCTCTGCCAGGGACAAAAGCTCCACCCTTGTGGTGCTCAGAATCGTGCTGGGACAACAGAAAACACTCGAGTCTACAATTTAAGATCTAGCAGAAAGTGTTATACAGAGACAATAAGGAAACTTTAAGGAGATGCTATGTGACATGAAAGTGATCAAGGAAGGCTTCTCTACGGAGGTGACCTTGGAGCAAAGGTTTAAAGGAAATGTCCTAGGTGTCAGTGACAGCGGGGCAAAGGCCTTGAGTGATGATCCCTTCCGGGGCTCTTCCTCACAAAACTCACTGAGGGGTTGGTAGCAGCTCATGTGGAGCAGGGGCTCTCAGCACCAAACACATCTTTGGGATGGACAGATGGACGGCATTTCTCCCCACCCCTGTATACACATGTCTGTATTACCCTTCCATCTGGGATATTCTCTTTGTTGACTACCGAAGTGCCTTCCTCCCTCCCCCTCCCCTCTTGGACAGAGTCTTCCTATACAGCCTAGGCTAACCTCAAATTCATGATCTTACTGCCTCAGCCTCCTGTGTGCTGGGATTCCACCTGCCAGCATGTCCAGCTCCACCAGGGTAATGGAAGAAAGGGAGGCAAATGGAGACTAGCCACCTTTTATAGAGCAAGGTCTTGTCTCAAAACCAGAGCTAGGCATGGTGGCACATGCCTTTAATCCCAGCTCTCAGGAGGCAGATGTAGGTGAATCTCTGTGAGTTCAAGGCAAGCCTGGTTTACGTACCAAGTTCTAGGATAGCTAGAGGTACATAATTTGAGAAACCTTGTCTAAAGACAAAACAAAAACAAAAACCAAACCCCCCCCCCCAAAAAAAAAACCATAGGCATGGTGGTGCACACCTGTGTTCCTAGCATTCAGGAGGTGGAGGCAAGGGGATCACCCCCAACTTGACACTCCAAGCACAAGCAAAACAACCTCCAGTTTAATGTTGATCTTTGCTTGTTTGATTCTCTGGCCTTGGAGCACGGATTGCACATTGTAGTTTTCAGTATGTGTGCATGCCACAAAAGGGTTCCACAGCTGCGATTCTGAGTGGTACAGTGAGGAAAACCTCAGTCAGCGGTCTCAGGAGATGGACACCCCATCCCAGAAAGCACACCAGGTCATCAATATACACAAAGCAGCCTCTGCGTGTTGTGAAACAACACGATCCCAAACAGCCCTCATCCCCCAGAGAGGGAAGAAGGGCCATTCGCTCATCCCAGCTGCCCCATCCCAGCACTCACAGATCAAATCCTATGACATCTGATTTATTTGCCCTGCTTCTGTGAACAGCTCCCACTCCATGACTCCCGTGACCAATGCTGTGACTATACCATCTTGTAAGTTAACAGTTCTGCTTGCATTCCACTTCCAAACAGTTCCAGAACATTCGACCGCCCTCGTCCTGTCACAAGTGATAGCCAGTCACTTCTGTCTCTACAGCGTACAGTAAATACGTCCGGAAGCAAAACACCCGAGTTATGTGCTCACCAAGACTTATATGCATTTCATTTTTTATTACCAATCAAAAATAAATTCCATATATTGTTTAGCAAATATTATCATTGTTTTGTGACAAAAGACACAAGAGTCATAACAACAAAACTCCCCGAGAGTCAAACTCATAACAATGCCAAAATAAATCACAAAAATATACAAATTAAAATCTTAATGCAAAATAAATAGGAGTCATTTGCTACGGCGACTGTGACTTGCCTACCCACTTGGATGCCACCTGCGAAGTCTTCCTTACCTGGGAAGACATACGGACCAGGCCAGTTCCAGGGTATGGCTCAGCCCAGGAACCAGAGGTTGGAAGAGGAAGTGAAAAAATTGCACTGGGAGGAGGAAGTCATCAGACCAGTAATATTTGGAAATAATTATGACCCTCTGCAAGAAGTGATTCTAAATGGGGGGAGGGGGGGCGGGCTGGGAGGGGAGGGGCCTGTCTGTTGGTGGTGACTGTGTATGCAGAGAGGTAGCTGTGGAAGTGTGTGCACCTGCTACTGTTGCTTCACACCCACCACGTGGTTTTGCTCTACCTGGCACTTGGGTCTCTCAGGAACACAGCTGGCAGCTCCTCTAGGCACTCGGGAGCATGCTGCACCTACAGAAAACTAAGGGTTTCTTAAGGGCCTGGAGGTCTGGTGTCTTTTTCCCTTATAGTTGAAAATCACCGTCTTCTCTGGGCTTCTAGGAGTAAATTCTGTGAGTGGAGGAGACCTCAGCCTGGCCAGGGGTACAAGACACCCCTAGGAGGTGGGATTCTCTGGGTACATAGACAGCAGAGTACTTGGGGTGACAGGACTCCACGGGCTGAGGAAAGGAGTGAATACATTAGGCGAAACCCTTCTTTCCTGGGGGTCCTTAAGTGGGCAAAAGAGGTCAGGTGACCCTCAGCCAGCTACACAGGCAAGGGTGTGATGACCCAACTTGGGTGGCTTCCAACATGTCCTGTCCCCAGTCCCTAGAGGGATGAGTATGGAGATAAGAATGGGGAGCTGGGGAAGAAGTCTTCCTGGGTGAACTTCCGGACCCTGACTCTTCTTGCTGCTGTGGGTGGTACAGTAGTCACTGTTGACACAGATACCTACAGTCAGATTCAGCCCTGGAACCAGAAGGAGTATCCGACAAGTCACCTCTAACGTAGGTGCTGCCCCCTCTGAGGGGGGGACCTTTGGTAAAACGGAGCGCATGGCCAAGAAGCAGATAAGCAACTGTAGAGCCAAAGACCACGCCTAACTCTTGGAGCCAGACCCTAGCAGGAGGAAATTGTCCAAAGGGATAGAGGAGAGCCAGGGGGTGGTTCTCGGCTGAGTCCTGACTCAGCAGCAGAGCCTGGGGACGGAGTCCTAGGAGATCACCGGATCCTGGAGCAGATGTAGTCCTCTCTGTTGCCGGGGTGGGTCATCGTGTCCCTGAACAGCTCCCCAGCGCCTCTCAGCCTCAGTGGTCTCAGTGCGTGTGTCCTAGCAGTGGATGTCAGTATCATTTAGATCCCTGCTTCCTAGGTACAACCGTCTACCTCCCCGGAGCCCCCTCCTGTGGGCTCCAGGCCCCCACTGCTGAAGAAGAGTGGTTCCTAGAGCGACAGACACAGGCTGAAAGGTCTTGGCCAGGAACAGGTTATGGCTGTTGCTTCCTGGAGTGAGGAACCCTCCTCCCCTTTGGGTTTCTTGAAAAAAAAAATTTTTTTTTTTTTTTACATAAAGTTCCTTAACCCTGTCTTCCCTTCCCAAAATGATATTTAAAAAGAGGAGCAATGAGCCTAGCTTAAAAATTCTCTCAGTGTTTAAAAAAAAAAAAAAATGACAAAAACAGCCTTTGCTCACTAGCTGGGCTGGGCAGGCATCATGTCAGAGCTGTTAAGAGGTCCCCATCTGCAGCCAGATCGATCCCCTGGGAGGGATGTCCAGTTGCTCAGTCATGCAGGATATCCACCTGCACCCCTTCTAGCCTCACAGGCTCCCCGACGTCATGTGGGCCCACTGGGGAGACCCCCGCAGGGCAGGCAGGAGTCCCCGGGCCCTCCTGTCAGATGGCACCGTCCTGGGAGGCTCTGTGCAGCAAAGAGTTGCGTTCATTGAGGAGCGTCGTGGTCTCATCCACCACAGGCAGCTCCGACTTCTCGGTAAAGTTCTCCGAGCAGGTGGCACAGCTGTCCAAGGCGAGCTGAGGGCTGTTGTCCATGCGGGAGGCCAGCAGCCCGTTCTGGTACTGCTGCCTGGTGATCTGCAGAGGGAGGAGGAGGAGGAGGAGAGAGAGGGAAGAACGGGTGTGAGGTGCAGGACTGAGGATCCAGCCAGGCGGGGCCAGGAGAGAGGTGGCCAGGGTGGAAGGCCGGAAGAGCTGGGAGGAAAAGTGTTCCGGGGGCCAGCAAGAAGGATCAGTAGGGAAGGGCACCTGCCACACAGGCTTGGGGACCTGAGTTCAATCCCCAGGACCCATGGAAAAGTGGACGGAGAGAACTAACTCTGTTCTTTGTCCTTTGACCTACACACACACATACACACATCACCATCATCATCATCAACTGTCCTAGGCAGGAGATTTTCAGAGCTTGAGGCCAGCCTGGACTACAACCAGACCATGTCTCAAGAAAACAAAACACAAGAAGTGCTAGGAATGTTGCTCAGTGGTACACTGTTGGCCTGGTATGGGTGAGAGCCTGGCTATGTCTCCAGGACTACGAGAGACTGCCCATGCTGGCTCCAGAACAGAGCTATCTAGAGAAGTGGAAAACTGTGGGGGGCACTTACCTTGACGTACTGCAGGTCCGTGAGCGCGCGGACACTGAAGTCGGACACATACTGGCCCAGAATGCAGCTGCCAAACTGGTTGCTGCCTGCCAGGGATGAGGAGGGCGTCATGTCTACGTTGCGGTCTGGGTAACTGAGGGAGGCCGAGCGGCTGAGTGGAGTTGGGTGGGCTGGGGACCGGTCTGTGGGGACAGCAGATAATCAGCACAGAGCCTGCCTCCCCTGGCGCCCACCCCGGCTCCTTGTCTGACCTCAGACATGGATGCTAGGGTCTCCAACCATGTCCCCACCAGGAAGAGGTCACAGTCCTCAGGGGCAAACAGAAGCACACACACAGAGAACCCAGCTGCACAGGGTCAGTGAGTTAGTGTGCTTAAAAGTGTCACATGGTTAAGTGTTAAGAGTGCCACCCAAGCAAACCAACCAGAAAATAAAAACCAAGACATTTATGGCTACAAAACCCCTCATTAGTCAATATAGCACCATGATTTCCCACATGTGACATAGACAAACCACTATCTTGTTCTAACGCCAACTTACATCAAGTGACCTACACTTAAAAAAAAAAATTGGAGCTGGGTGGTGGTGGTGGTGCACACCTTTAATCCCAGCACTGGGGAGGCAGCGGTGGGCAGATCTCTGTGAGTTCGAGGCCAGTCTGGTCTACAGAGCGAGATCCAGGACAGGCACCAAAACTACACACAGAGAAACCCTGTCTCGAAAAACCAAACATAACAAAACAAAAATCGGGAGAGGGTCTGGAGAGAGGGCTCAGTGAAGAGTGCTCGTTGCATAATTATGAGGGTTCTTGGCACTGGGATCCCAGCACCCCTGCATCAAGCCTGGTTTCCAGTCAACACTGTAACTCAATCGACAAGGGATCTGATAAGTTCTGGCTGGCCTCCACATAGAGGCGCACACACCCACATATGTGTATATATATATATATATATATATTCATGCAGACACGAATAAATAAAAAATGTAAAATATTTTAAAAACTTTTTTGAAGCAACGTCTCATTGTACAGCATAAGCTGGCCTCCAATTCGGTCCTCGTTCCCTCCCAAGCACTGGGATTATAGGCACACAGCACCATAACTGCTGTGAACTGTAGATTTTAAGACAAAACACATATATTAAAAGGGAGAACACACAGGCTGAGCTGAGTGGCACCTGCCTGTAATCTCAGAACCCAGGAGGCCAAGGTGAGAAAGATCATGAATTTTAGATTAGCCTCGGCTACACAGTGAAACCTTGCCTCAAGAAAAAGGAAAGACACCGAATTTGCATTCTCACTGTGAATTCTACCCTGGCAACACGATACCTGTCGTGCTCTTAAGAGGGTCAAAGGTATGCTCTCTGTGTAACCCCAACCTTGGCTGAGGAATGGGGTGAACGGGCCCTTGTCCCAGACAGCCAGAGGTTCCAAAGGCAGCACAGACCTCCCTCCCCAGGCAAGGGTAGTAACTCGAGTCCAGAGGAAGCGAGAAGAAACTAAGTTATCAACCATATCTCTTAGTTATGAGAACACTTAAAGAACAATGAGGTGCACAGAGAAGTTGACTCTGAAGGGCGAGGGGGCTTGGTCTGAGCACGGAGCTATTAAGTTCCTCATCGCCGAGTTAGCTGCGGCACAGCAGAGCCAGGAAGAACGCTGGGCCCGGTGACTCCATGACAGCCTTTAAGAAGACTACGTAGGTGCCACATGCGGCTGTGATCGTCACGTAGAAAAAACTAGGACACATAGTCCGGTGACTCAATGACTGGGCAGTGGCTCCACTACTAAAACCAGAAAACAGGGCCACTGGAAGACCAGCAAGATGGCTCGGCAGGTAAAGGCACTTGCCGCCATGCCTCAACGACCTGAGTTCAATCCCCTGGACCTACAGCATGGAAGGGGAGAACTGACTCCCACGTGCACATGAGCATACTTGCTTGTGCGCGCACACACACACACACACACACACACACACACACACACACTAATAAAATTTTAAAAATATTTCATCTTAATTATTTGAATGGCAAGATGCTCTTTAGTTAGTGTTTACTAACAACAGGAGCTGACTTTGTTTCCTGTAGTACTGGGGATCAAACCCAGGGCCTGGAACACAGCAGCCACTACTATCACTGAGTAGTCCCAAGAGCTGAATTTAAAGTTCCCGGTCTTACCTCGCATGCATAACTAGCTTGGGCTACATAGCAAGTTCAAAGCCATTCTCGGCTACAGAGTAAGATCCAGTGTTTTAAAAAGAGGAAAAGAAAATTACAAGCACTGTAAGGTGCCACGTGGGTGCAGGCAACTGGACCTCAGTACTCCACAGGAGCGGTTTGCACTCATAACCACCCAGCCATCTCTCCAGCCTCTACTTTTATTTTTTAAGACAATTTTAACAAGTATTTATGCATTTTATCTATGAGTGCTCTGTCTGAATGGACACCGGCATGCCAGAAGAGGGCATTAGATCCCAAATGGTTGTGAGCCACCATGTGGTAGCTGGGACTTGAACTCAGGACCTCTGGAGGAGGATGCGGTGCTCTTAACCATTGAGCCATCTCTCCAGCCCCGTTATTTGAATTTTTTCTTTTAACTTGTGTGTGTGTGTGTGTGTGTGTGTGCGCGCGCACGCGTGCAGGCATGTGCAGGCATGAACAGGCATGTGGGTACGTGAACACTTCGGCGCACTCACAGAGCTAAGAGGACAACTTTCAGGAGTCGGCTGTCTCATACCACCACAGATTCTGGGGGCTGGACTCAGGTTGCCAGGCTGTGAGGCCACAGCTTTTACCTTCTGAGTCTTCCTGCCTGCCCTGACGAGGGGATTTACGGAAAAGCATTCATTTCAGACACAAACATCAGGGTTCAAGCTACAGATGTATAAACTCCTGGCCATCCATGAACTAAGACTAAGAATGGGGGGTGGGATATAAAGCAGTGAGTGACAACTAAGTCACCATTTTAAAAACAGGGGGTCAGAATAGCGTGTACTATGAAACATTAAGAGAAAAATTCACACAAGAAAAGTAAAAACTGAAGAGCTGGGTATTTAGCTCAGTGATAGAGTTCTTGTCTAGTATGTGTGACACATATATACACACATACATACACACACACACACACATACACACACACACAGGGATGGGGTGGGGTGGGGTTACAAGCTGGATGTAGTGGCCCTTTAATCCCAGCACTCGAGAGGCAGAGCCAGGCAGATCTCTGTGAGTTCCAGGCCAGCCTGGTCTACAGAGCGTCCAGAACAGACTCCAAAGCTACACGGAGAAACCCTGTCTCAAAAAAACCAAACCAACCAACCAAACAACCAAACAAATATATATCTATCTCAAGAACTAACAGACTGGCTTGTCAAGTTTTTGACATGCTGTCAGGGCCTGGGTTGGTTCTGACCAGTGCAGGGCTCACCAGCTTGGCCAGAATCTGGGGGCTGGCTGGGTCCTTCCCACACCCTTTGTACATGAGGGAACTAAATGTCTCTAACTGTTCCCATGATTCCTAGCAGAGGCCAAGTCCAGATGCAGCACCTGGCGTTTGGTTTTTTTTCTAAGTACTTGCTGGTGGGAATCTCACATTTTAGTTGTTACAGAGAAAACAAAATAATGAAAGTTGGACTCTCAGCATATTCTACATCAACTATCTCATTTATTGCCCCCACCCCAGGCTTCTGAAGTAGGTAGAGTGTTAGTTCCATTTTTCAGGTGGGAAGAACAAGACGGGGGTGGAGTCAGCTAAGAACAGTAGATAGAGAGGCAAAGGGATGCCCTTACTCTGGGGCTTTGCCTCATCCTGCCATGCTGTAGTCTCGAGCATTAGGCTATGAAGAAGGCTGAGAAGGACTAAGAAAGCTGATGGGATGACATGCCATCCCGCAGAGGCTTGTGAGTGGGCTGGAGCAGAGTGCTGGCCAGCTGGGCTTCGTTGCCTCCAGGCTCCAGCAGCAGCCACAGGCTGAGTGTGCGCACTTGGCTTGGTCAGGAACATTCCCCCACTCTCAGGCCCATCATCTGAGCGTCCTATGTGTCTGTGTGTCTGTGTGTCTGCTGGGTGATGCTTTCTCAAGGACTTAAGGACCCTTGGAAAGGCCCTCCCAAGACCGTGGCAGACCCATCCAGAAACTGAGCCCTAGGCCACGCAGAGATAATACCCATTAAGAGTCAGGCTGGACCCTAAGTGTGCCTAGGAGGAAGTCCCCAGGTTCCTATGGGAGTCATTAGTGCAGCTGCAGTACAGAGATCTAGCAACAGGTGGCACTGTGCACTTCTCTAGCATGCCATGGTACCTGAGAGCCAAGAGAGCAGGGAGTTCAGCTTGCCAGGGGAACACCCAGGCTGTACAGGAGGCGCTGGAGCGACAGAGGAGGAAGTCAGTGACCTGGGGAGGGTCACAAGCCACAGGAACAGGATGGAGAGAGGCAGATCTGACGGGCCGGGCTACCTCAAGCAGGGTAAGGTGGGGGCGGGCTACAGGGACACACTTAGATGGGAAGGGTGCTCAGGACAGACCAAAGAGCCCTATGCAGAGAAAGTGTGTCCAGAGTCAGCGCCGCTGCCTTCCAGCCAACTCCACACGGAATGTCATGACCTCGGGTCAAGGGACTGCGCCCAAGACCCAGAGAGTTCTCGGCATCAGCACTGGGAGGGGTCCCTTCCACCCTCCAGCCCTTCTGAACAAGAGCTCCCCAAACACGAGGTGGGCACACACCTAGAATCTCAGCGTCAGGAGGCTAAGGCAGGAGGAAGAAGAGTTCCGGGCCAGTCACAAAGCAAGACCATTCCAAAATATCAAAAATCCCCTAAGCAAAAAACCAAGGATACTCTCAGCAGGGGCAGCTCAGTCTTCCTTAGTCCTGATACGTTCGGGCAAGGTGCACCTGCTCTGGAGCCCAACTTGTTTGCCCTTGACCTTAGCCCCAGGAGCCTGCAGTACCCTGGCTCATCCCAACCCGTGGGCAGGGAAAGCAGTGGCTACGCTGTGTTGGTATTCCTGGATGCCCTGGCCCTGTGCATTGGGAGCTTCTTGTCAAAGGATATGACAAATGAGGCAGCAGGATTCTCTAAGAGTTACAGCTAATACCCTTTTGGCAAACCCTGTTCTAGGCACCACAGATGGCTTTTATTCTCCCCCGGCTACAGTAAGCTGGCACACCTCTGCCAAGGTCAGTGTTCACACAGGGTCAAGTCCAGGAGGGTGAGACTTGCTAGCGTGCTGAGGTTTCACCCTTCCCCGTGACCTCTTAAACAGGGGACACCTGAGCCACCCAGGACCAGAGGTCATCCTTGAGGGGACCCAGCTCCCAATGCCTGCCCCTGCTATCAGAACCAAACCTGACCAAACTGCAGTAACTGAGGCCCTGGAGAGCTAAAGTCGTCTACAACTTACCCGGGCAAGCAGGCTCTACGCTACCTCCCGACACGAGTACTCTGTGTACCCCAGCTCCCCAGTCCTTCATGGGCCTCCTATCCTGCCCCGATGTCCTAGTCAATGATGGTACAGGGGTCTCCCTCTGGCCCATTTTAACCTCATCACGCTGTCTGCAGTCAAAGGTCGTTGATCATTTCCATTTCCAGAGCCCAGGAACTGCCTGGCTCCCTGACCATCCCTGTCTGCACACTCCTTCCCACAGCGGCTGGTCCCCTCACTACCTCAGGATACCCTCTCTGCCTCTCTTGCCTTCAGCCTTCCAATGGGGAAAGTCATTCTGTTCCCCGAGGCCTGGCAGCTCTGGCCCTCACCTGCCTCCTTCTGCTATGTACGAGCCATCAAGGCTGCGTAGAGGTCAGGGTCAGGGTCGCTGGGTCCCCAGTGTCACAAGCGTCAGTGGGTCCCCAGGACCTGGCCGACAACTCACCCGAGGCTGGCATGGATAGGGCCATGGTCCCGTAGTACGAGAAGGCGCCCGTCTCGAACTTCATGTTCTCCTTGCCTGCTTCTACTTCCACCTTCCCCTGAAAGAACATGGGGGTAAGACGGCAACATGGCTTAGAGAGAGGCGTTAAACCGAGGCATCTCTACGAAACAGAACGCTGGCCCCAGGGCCTGCAGCATTCAAGGCCTTGACCTCTGGGCACAAGAGTGGCCTCTGGGGGGGAGACTCTGGGCAACCCGGAGCACAGGTTCAGGGGTAGGCCGCACACTCTCTAGTGGCTCACAGGAAGGGGGACACGCAGGCGTCGGAGGGGTGCGGCCCGTGCGCCGGGGCCCAGCGGCGGAGGCTGGCTCACCTGCAGGATGAGGATGAAGTAGTCGGCCGCCTTGTTCCGGGTGTACAGGTAATGGCGGCAGTAGTGCTTGTTATGCTCATCAAACTTGAGTTCCTGAATGACATCCGGGTATTTGAGCAGCCGGAGCAGGATCTTCTCTGATATCAGAGTGGGGCTGAACTGGGGCACCTCTGCAGGAAAGAGAGGAGAGTTCACGTGGCGCCCAGACCAGGTGGCCCTGCAGCCGGGTCACTGCGGTGCCAGCATCTAAGCGGTCCTGGCCGCTCTGTACTAAGATGGCTTCCTCCCTGCTTGGGCTATTGCTTCTGGCTTCTAGTACTAACAATACCAGTACTAACTAATACTAGTTAGTATAATAACAACAACAAGAATACTAGTGATCGTTAGTGCCAGAGCCATGTAGGCTGACAGAGTCCATGCTGCTTGGGCAGATAACTGAACTCATGTGTCTCAGTTTTCTCATCAGTAAGATGGGGCCAAAACTTCCCCTAGGTGGTTTCCTGTTAGCGTGAGATAGCACAGCATTTAGACACACTCCGCCCTTGTGCATGTTGATTAAGGGTTCCCACAATTACTGCTCTCTGTACCAGTGACGACCGGCAAGAAAACACACAGGGAAAGGGATTCTTGTACCTTTAGCAAGAGAGCCAGAAAGGAAGCTGGAGGAAGGATGAGAGCATGGGAGGTCAGTGTTTTTCTGAACTGTCACCCAGGGCCCAAAGGGTGCTTAGAATGAGAGATGATAAAAGAAAAAGGCCACTGATCTACAAGTCAGCTCTGCAGGCTCATCTGTGGGCACAAGCCTTCCCCTGCATACAGAAGGAAGCTGGGGGGGGGGGTAAGCATGGCGCTGTGAACAGGCTCTTCAGGGCAGGTGAGCAGGCCAGGAGGGGGCAGTCTATATCGCAGGATCACAGCCTGAAGGGCCTGGGGCTCCCAGGTACACCACCTACCCCACCCCACCCCCGCCGGATGTCTCAGTGATTGCTTTGTAAACTAACTAGACTGTTCCTCCAAGTCCCTGATAGCCACTCATGGCGAGCAGACCAGAGAAGGAAGAGGGATCGATCCCCGGACCCTTCCAAAGTGAACATGTCCCACACTCACTGCCCTCTCTCCATGGGAGGCGTGGCCAGAGGCCCAGGAGGCTCCCTTTGTGACTGCACTCCCATCCACAGGGAAGGCGCTTGCCACACTCTCACCTGTAGCCAGGAAGCGATGAGCAGCCAGAAGAAGCTGAGGTGAGATTTTCACTTTGAGTTCATTGTCAGCATCCTTGAAGGCAGAGAAGTCACGTTTGTTCTTCATAGACACCCGTTTCCGGGTTCGATTGTCAGCTGAAAGAGGGAAGGTCTGGAATTAAGATCCCTGACCCCTGAGGACTGGAACCGGACCCTCTAGTTCCTTGGCGTCTCCCCACAGGGAGGGCAGAGGAGGACCCCTGTCACTCTGTTCAACATCATGTCCCCTCCTCATTACAGCCAGTGAAGGGCACCTAGCTGTCTACTGGGCCTGCCCAGGGGGCCAGGGCCTCCACACCCCTGCACTGAAGTCTTTCTGCCTAGGGATACCAGATTTCAGAACACACTGGGGTTCTGGGCCCGTGGAGGGGGCGGAACTCACTGTACATGTCCGACTCATCCAGGATCTCAGACTTGATGATCTCCTCGATGACGTCCTCCAGCGTGACCAAGCCCAGCACCTCGTAGAAGGGGTCACAATCACCTTCGTTGTTCACCTTCTGAACAATGGCCAGGTGCGACTTCCCTGCAGGAGGGGACACTAAGTCAGGCATGAACTCCCTCAGTACAAGGACCACACACTTCGGGTTGAGTTGCGGGCGCAGAGTCACTGTGGTTTTCTTTCCTTTCCCGGTTCCTGACGCTGCTTCTACAGGCAGATACTGCTTTTGTGGACATGAAGACCACAGGATTTTTAAATGCATGACATTACACTTGGGACCCTTTGTTTAAAGAGGATGGAAACTGGGTGCGGTGACTCACATCTGTCATCCCAGTACTCAGGAGGTGGAGGCAGGAGGATTGCTGCAAGTTTGAGGCCATCCTGGGCTACACAGTCAGTCCCAGGCCAGCCTGGACTATATATAAGCCCCCCGTCACATACCAAAAAAAGAAGGAAAAAATCTAAGGAGGATAGAAATGACAGGCTCTGCCCGACATTGACTGCCAAGGGTTCTGGGGCCCTAGGAAAGTGAGAGGCTACAGTACAAGGCCATGGGAGACCCTTGGTCAGGGGCGTGCATATGACAGCTGGACAGAGGGTCTAACACTGCCCAGGGCCTCATGGGCCACCACACTCAGTTCACTCACACAGCTCTGCCTGGCAAACTCCCTGCAGGGAACCAAGGATTGCCAACTGCCCAAAGCCAAGGCTCTGGGTCTCTAAGCCACGAACTCACTGTATTAGGCCAGGCCCACAATTGGAAAGACTTTGCTGCCGAGGTCCAGCCGCAGCCTGGGTTCAGGTCCTGAGACGGGGAAGGGGTGTTGGCACGGGCACAAAGAAATGAACTGTCCAACTACCAGATGAGTTTCACACAAGCGGCCAGCCCTGAATAGCTCCAGCCATCTTTATTTATATATCAAAAACAAGCATGTTTTTCCATACTAACAAACAAATTCTCCCCATCCTCCAATGTTAACTCTGGGAAAACCAAATATATCAAATACGTTTTCTTCTAACGTTTACACCAAAACATCTTTAAACCAAAAACACTTATCATTTTGCTAGCTTGGCCAAATATTGAGCCAGGTACATCCTGTCTCTACAAAACTAAAAGGTATTCGACTTAGGCACACGTTTTCAAGAATTACAATCCCGTTCAAAACATATTTACAGAAATAGGGGTGATCTGCCTGCGACCCTGTCAGCACTGAATCAGAACAGCTAGCTCCCGGGGGCCGAAGTGACAGCTGGCATCCCCAGACAAGAAACCCGAGAAGCATCCCAAATAATGTTAGGAGAAAATATTCGAGAAAAAACGAATCCAGGAATTCTTGTGGTTTCCAGGAATGATCACATCTGTCCCATGAGTGATTGGCAAAATGACACTAAAACCGCCAAGGGAATCATCAATATTACGAGAGAGAAGAGAGCAAGCAGGCCGAGAGGTCCTAGCAGTCTCTGTGCTGTCCCCAATAGCCACTCGCTCTTGCCGAGCGAGACTGACCCCATGGGCTTTTGCTTCATCGGGAGACGTGTTGGACAAGCACTCAGATACTGGTCAGAAACTAGGCCCCACGGCTCCCAACACCTTCCCTCAACCTGAGACAGAGTGGAGAGGCCGGTGAGTCGGGACCTTCTGCAGGCACTGTGGATGGAAATGCTTCTCAGGCTGTCTATGAGGTGCCGGGCTGTCATAACCCAGGGAACAAAAAACGGAAACAGCCAAGAGGGCTTGACCCACTCTAAGAATGAAAAGGTGTGCCTGTTAGGGCGCGCACGCGCACGCGCGCGCGCGCGCGCGCGCACACACACACACACACACACACACACACACACACCACCCAACACACATGGAGGCCGACAGCCAACTGAGGTGAAAGCTCTGGAGATATCTGCAGGTGAAGTCTGGGACTCCCACATGGCTTGCCCCATCCTCCAAACTAACGTTCAAGCCTCATATTCAGGCTAGAACTCATTTGAAACACTCTCGGGAGGCGGTGTTTGCCAGGGTTTTCAGGCCACAGACAGTGTGCCTGGGTCCCAAGAGGACTGACTCTTCAGAACTCCTAAGGGCCCCCTGGGGAGGGGG